AGGCTTGGGGTGGAGGATTGGTTGGGGGCTTTCATGGACACATGGTTTGCGGGTGGGATGATCTATTTGGGATGTGGAAAGCCCTGCAGGAGTGACTTTTGACTTTATAGATATGCATGTGCAATATCTAGGCATATTTTTGTTTTTTTACTGCATCTGGTGGTTGAGAAGGGGTTATGAAGTGCTAGAAAGTAAGTAGTCCTGTAACTGAGTTGAAAAAAACCCCAACCTTTGATACATTTTTATGGTAATGAAAACAGCGGAATAACTTCTCAAGAGTATTAAGTACTGCCAGCTAGGCCTATTCAAGATAGTAAGTGAGCTATTACTATATTTTTTCCTATAATTTAATTTTGGAACACACCTTCTGTGGTTGGGACAGTTCTCTGGTTCTGCACTGGTCAGGTCCTGAGGGTGGTGGACTAGAGAGAGAGTCAACCTGTACAATTTAGGATAAAGCTGAATTGATTTAAAGGAACTTTAGATGCTGATAGTGTCTTTCTTGCCCATATAGGAATAAGCTACACTGATTTAACTGAAGGGTTTTACCACTTGTACAATACTGGTGTAGTTAAGGTGGTACAATTGTAGACAAAGCCTGTTGCATCCATCAAGTTTTCCCTGTTTGCATAAGTCTCTTTGTGCATCAACAAAAGAAATAAAATGAGAAAGTTGCTAGGCGTTTTGAGGGGAGCGGTAGTACCCAAATTTCTAATTCAAATTTTGCAGTTATCTAGATTTCACATTAAAGATGTATGATGTCCCTAGTTAAATATTATTTTGTATTTTGGATGTGTACCAGTCACCAATAGTAGATTCAGCTGTTGTAATTAAAATTTAAAGTATTATTTTCAAATTGAGGCATCTAAAAGGTGCCTGTGCCTATATTTAGTATCCTAAATAAAAAATAGACTGATTTTGCAGAAATACTGGGAACTCAAAACAGCATGAGGTACTGTCTTTCTACCTGTGCTGCTGTTTCTGGATCAGAGGCAGCAGTGAAGGGTGTCAGGCAGGAGTTGATCTGCGAGGGGAGCCAGTTTAAAAACCAGCTCCCCTTGTGGACTGGCTGCCTGCTGCCCCATGCTGCTGCCTCTGACACAGAGGCAGCAGTGTGGGGTGGAAGCAGCCCCTGTCTGCGGAGGAAGACGGGAAGGCTACCGCAATGGACCTCCCCCTTCTCCCTCCATCACAGACAGAAGCTGCTTCAGGACAGCCTCCCCTGTCCACACACACGCAGGCACCGCACCGCCGGTGCTGGGAGGGAACCAGGGAGCCTAGTTTTATCCGTCAACTATTCATTCACATCCCTACTCTGAACAGCTTCTGGAGCTAACTGTATATTTGGCAGGATTGACTGTAACATTTCATATTCAGAAGATTATCGTTCTTTGCAATCAAAAGGGTTAGAAATATAATACTCTAAATTGAAGCTTAGATTTTGCAAAAGTTGATGGTGTTTCCCTGCTTGAGAATTATGACCCCATCGTGGTTGTGTTGCGTGAATGGATTTCTCGAACTCTGGTGAAAAACGTACTTTATCTTCAAAATTAAAAATTGCACAAGGTACTCTGTTTTTCATCTAGTTTCTTTGATTGTCAAGCTGATTATCCAGTACACTGACGCTTTCCTTAATCTTGCTGATAGTCACATCCTATAATACTGTTGTTACACTCCTGTGTTCTCTGTGATAAAGTATTTTGAATGTCAAAACTCCTCCTGTCACCTGAAATCTAATGTTCTCTGGGAATTTCAAATAAAGATTTGGATGAAGTTTTGAGATTTCTCTGTCCCTTGCTGAGAATCCATCCTCAGGCAAAGGAGAGATGCTGGGCAAGGAAACCATTGGGATCCATGATACCCCACTCCTAGTACATACCTCCTTTAATTCTACAAAATGAAGTTGCTTAGGAGTGATGCAGCAGTAGAACTTGTGTAGAAATCCTAAGATTTGGTTGAAGAGTTCTGTTGAGCTTCACAGCTAGACACCCTTTCCCTCCCCCCCTTAGCTCTGCTAAGATGACCACTAGGGATGTACATTTATATTCTTTAACCAGCTAACTGATTGGGGGGGACGGGATGCTCGAGCCTGGCCTGCCGCTGGGGTGGAGCGCGTATCCACACTCACCCCTCCCGCAGACAGAGGCTGCACTCACTGGGATTCCAGAGCAGCCCCTTCCTGTAGGACACCGGAGTTTTCCCTGGACAAAGATCTCTCCAGCCTGAATAGGCCTTTTGCTGGTCAGGCAGGGGCTGCTCCAGCATCCTTGCTAGAGCAGCCCCTGTCCAGGATACCCTCTCTCCCCTCGCAGGGCTCAAGCAACCTCCTGCCCATGGCTGCTCCAACCCTCACCAGTTAACTTTAACCTGTAAAATTCACATCTGTACTGACTGACTCTCTCTACTAATGAGAAACATCTTGAAGACTTCACACAGTTTCTTCCCAATTGTCCAAACCCTGTTATTTAAGGGCATGTCTCCGCTGGAGTATTGATGCTCTGGAGATTAGGGAGGTCATCCTGTAGATGACTACATGATTAACCAAGAGTGGGAGTTGGTGTCTGGGAGGAGCTGGTTCTCCATGAGCCTTGGCTCCTGTCTGGGCCCCACCCCTCATGCTTCTGCCTCTGAGACAGCAGCGGGGGGGAGTGGCAGGTGAGAATGTGTGGGGAGCCAGCTTTTAAGGGGCTCACCATGCTTGCCTTCTCCACAGACCTACTTGCCTCCTCCTTGCTGCCTTGCAGCAGGGTGGTGGGGGTATCAGGCAGGAGCCTTCTTAAATTATGGTTCTCCCCAGCACTAGCTCCATGGTGCCACCTGTTTCTCCCTCCTTTCACCCCCCTCCTCCACTGCGCTGCTGCCTCTATAAAATCTTTTTTACATTTGCTTTTATGTACTGAATTTGTTTCCGGTCATTGTCTTAGTTGCAAATGAAGAAGTCATTTTCTTCCTTAGTTTTCGTGTTTGTATTCTGCCACGTGTTGTGAAAGAACAAAAATGTTCGTGGAGTTAGAAGTTTCCAGTGGCTACTGAAAACACTAAAACTTGTATTTAAGACTGGAAATGAAGACAGCCCAGCCATGGTTGGAGATGTAAATTCGAGACAATGAGATTATGGACTAGTGGTTCAGTCTGTACTCATTCAGTCTTATTTTTTCAATTCTAAGTTTAAAAAGGCATAATCAAGTTTCGGTACTGTGCACAACCCTCAGGTGAGACACACACTGATGCACTACAAAATGAAGCTTCTAAATAGTTCTAGATGATCAAATGTAATTAACACAGGCCTCATCAAAGAGATGTCTTAGAATTTCTCATGTAGAAAGACAGTCAATGTAAGGTGTCAAATATATTTAACTATAAAAGCTGTGGTGAGTTTGCATTAATAGGGTGGTGATGCCTCTTTTCAGGTGGCTGAGGGCATGAGGTCATAGTAGTCAAGTAGCCCATTAATATATACCATAAAATAGCTTATTACTGTTAGAGTAGGGTTAGTTAATTTTACATTTAAAAAAATTGGGCTTTATTCAACATTGCCCTCCATTGTGAATACTAATTGGAAAAGAGATGTAGGCATCTTTTGGACGGTATTTAAATATATTTATTCTCAACATTAAGGATTCCTGGGCTACTTGAGATTTTTTTTCTGTTTCTCAGAAATCCAGTAGCCCTTCCAGCAGCACTTTGAGACCTAATAAATGCTCTCAGCTCATTTTGTTTTAAAAAAGAGTTGAGACCTAATAAATGCTCTCAGCTCATTTTGTATTAAAAAAGAGCTCTCTATTTAGCTTTAATGCTAAAATAATGGATTAGAGGGTGCCAAAAAGAGCCACAAATTGCCGCTGAAAGGGCAGCTCTGCGTTTTGGAGAAGTTGGCTGTTGACACTATCACCTTTTTTGTTTCTCCTTCAGCCCCTCACTGTTTCTCCCAAACCCTTTTTCCATTTCCTGTCCCCATGGGATATATTACCTTTCTTCATCCGTTACCTTTCTTTTTAATCTATTGAACATAATGACATGTAATGCCAAAAAGGTTCTATCAGCTAATCAGAAGGCAGCTTTGGACAACTAGTGTGTTGAATTTAGTTATAGCTATAATATATTTATAGTTATAGTCAGGGCTTGCCAAGCCACGGCAAGCCCCGCTTGCCAGATGCGCGGTTCGACACACTGCACGTGCACAGACCGCACTGTGCGGCTGTGCCAGCTTGTAATCTACTTGCCACGGGCGAGTAGATTACATTAATTGTCGAGCCCTGGTTATAGTATTCAAACTACTCTTCAAATTAAACATTGGAAATATTTCTCACTGCTTTTAAGTAAATTGTCTTAAGTTTTTTGCTCAGACTGTGTGACAAATTGGCTTGCCTTTTAAGCCGAACGCTGTTAAACACAAAATTAAGGTTAAGTCCTACATCAACATGCAGTTATTGTCAAACTTGTCCTTTTGCTTATGCCTGGGTGACATGTTATCATGTCACCTCAGTGTTGAGCGTTGAGATTACCCAAGAACTAATAGTATAGTAGTAGCTGCTCATGATCTAAACAATTAATTTTTTTATTGTGATTGTAAATTAGTTCTAGTCGTAATTTTAAAAGAGAACCATGGGAAAGATAAACTTAAAAAACAACAAATAGTCTGATAGCACTTTAAAGACTAACAAAGCTTGAAGATGGTATCATGAGTGTTTGTGGGCACAGCCCACTTCTTCATCTGAGAGAGCTCATGATACCATCTTCTCAGATGAAGAAGTGGTCTGTGCCCACGAAAGCTCATGACACCATCTTCATGTTTTGTTAGTCTGGTAGCACTTTAAAAACTATGTGTTGTTTTTTAAGTTTGCTCTGTACTGACTAACTTGGCTACCCCTGAAGCATGAGAGGAATTTTCTATACGAGGATAACATCTATCTAGTAGGTACATGAAAAGAGCCTGAGAGGAGCTGACTGTTAGATTGACTGTGGTCCGACCTGCTTATATAAAGAGCTATGTGGTGTGAGATCAAATTGGGCCACTGCTACTATTAATAGTGAAAATCCTTGCCAGGCGCGATCAAATTGGGCCACTGCTACTATTAATAGTGGAAGTTCTTGCCAGGCGCGTGTGTGTGTGTGTTTTCCCTACTGAATGCAACCCACCAGCTTAGCTATCTGGTGCTGGCAATAGGGATGTGAAGACTAGTCGATTATCCAATAAACAAATGTTTATCGGATAGTCAGCAAGCTTGTTGACTAGTTGCTCTCCCCTCTTCCCCCTTTGCTGGAGGGGAACAAGGGGATACTTCAAAGCAGCAGCTGCTGCTGCTTTGAAATGCCACCGCAGGGGCCTGCTGCTGCTTTGAAATGCTGCAGAGCTCGGCATCAGACTCCCCACAGTGTTTCAAAGTGGTAGCGCCACTACTTTGAAACGCTGGGAGGAGCCTGACGGCGGGTTCCTGCAGCAGCGTTGCAAAGCAGCAGCACCTCACGGACCCTGGGGTCAGCGGGGAGTCCCCACCTGACCCCAGCCTCCATGTGGCACTTTGGTCTTTAAAGTGTAGGAACAGCCCTAGGGACTGATGCAATTGCAAATTTCATCGACTGTTCAATTATTCAGTTAACCGCAATTTAACACGAAAATCTGCTATACCTGGCCAGGTCTTTACCTTGGAAATCATTACTTCCCCAAAATGTGTACTGGAAAGTTTTTCTATATACAGAAGTATTACCATTTTAACTTAGATCACATTTTAAATCCATATAAGGGCTGCATGGACTTATTTTTGGTGTAAACCAGAATAATTGTGGTGTAAACCAGAATAAGAATGTCTCCAGTCTTTTGCACTGACTTAGTTAAATGGGCTTAAATTCACATGCTAAGTTAAACCAGTGCGATTTTCTTGTATAATATTTTACTGTATTTTGTGTAGACAATCCCTGAGAAGGCACATTATTTTATCCAGCTGTTCCCTGACTTATTTTGTGCTTGCAAACAGTTTACTTAAAACACAAGTTGCTCTGTGAATATATGGTATGCATGGTAGTTTTGGTAAAGATGAAAGCCTATTTGATGCAATCAGTTTATACTGTAGAGACAAATTAAGAGTGGGGAAAAAGAACTGATACGTTCATATGAGACTAAAAGTACTTGGCAGTGACTGTCTTGAATCAAACTATGGGACAGTGAATGGAAATGAAGACCTATCTTCCTGGGTACTATTTTCTTATAGCTGGACTTTTGTGGAAGCTCAGATTGCAAAAACAATGAGAGCATACTGGAAAAAGCAACAGCAGCTCAGCTTTTCACCTTAGTCATCTATTAAGAATTCATAAAACAAAATATTACTAACTTTCTTCCACTGATGGAAAATGCAATGGAATTTTTTTACCTAGCACATTTAGCAAGTTGTGTAAGTATCTTATTGCATTTAGCTCGTCTTAAGTATCTAACACCTTTCTGATATAAATACCGTTCTTTTTTCGGACTTCATCTTTAATTAAAGAATCCTCCAAACATAAATGTGATATGAAGGATCTTAACATAGGGGGGAAATTTACAACAAATATTTAAATATCTGAGATGGAACATTGAAAAGTGTCTTTTGTATGTGTACACAAACATCTTTATTTTCACATAAATATCCACTACTTTAGCCATTCTGCCCTTTCTACCATTTGACAGTAGTTTCTTCTTTCATGCTGTTTGTTGCTTGCTCCTCCTGCTGGCATGTTAATGCTAATAAGCACACTGATTCTCTCAGTTTATGTGTGTCTCAACCAATTGTGATATAAGTGTAACCGATGCAGTTTTAATACATATAACTTTTTCTCTTCTTTTTCAGGTCCAGTGCAGAGTCAGGTGCATTTCCCTTCTGGATATAGCTTAAATCCTGAAAACTATAGTGCTCCCTCCACACATTACCCACAAGTGCCCCATGAAGCTATCCCTTCCCAGTTGGATAACCAATATATTGCTGATTACCACTCTGCTTGCTATTCAGTACCAGCGCAAAGTGTCATGACACATTCTATTGGTCCCGGCATGTTGAACACACAGCAGTTGTATGGTGGGGCTCCTCATCCTGTGGAGTCATCAGGAGGACTTCTTCAAGAAGCAGTATCATCTGCATCCCATTTACATACAAGTGTTCCACAGTCATATTCTGCAATGAGTAGTCACTACATTTCTTCAACCAGCTCTTCAGTCGCATCTCAGGGATTTCCCCTTTCTTCTGGTCATTATGCCATGCCTTCTGTCTCTAGTGCTGTATATCCTCATCTTTCCTATCCTGCCATGTCTATTGGTAGTCCATATAGGCAGGTGTTAACATCCCAGAGCCTTCCAGCTGTTGGACAGTTTAAAGAAACTAATGCATTTCCTGGTCAAAGTACTATTGTACCTCGTACATTGCAACAGCAAGTTACCTTGGGATATAATTCTACATCATGGTCCACTTCAGATTTTCAGTCAGCTCAAGAGAACTTGAGCAGGAATCACACTGGATCTGTGGCAAAAGCAAGCAACCAAATAAATACAGGTATAATACTATGCCAAAATCAGGCAACTTCAAAATGCAATTAAATGTTTTTCCATAATTAAAACAATTTAAGCAGCAGTTTATACCAGCGATGGGTGACCTAGTCTAGTAAGTAAGTCTCATGAGTGGCCCTCCTTCATCTCAGTGGGCTACAAGATTGTTGTAATCAAGATAGTCTACTCTGATGTTGTAGTTGATAACTGCACTTGGATACCTAGAATTTGCAGGGTGTGCCCATTGAACTGTAGCAGCACTTTTAATGCAGAGGGAGGCACATAGCTCTTACAGTCTATGTTCTGTGCAGTCATCATGAACCTTACATCACATGACCTTGATTTTACATGAATGTCACTTAAGTAATATTGGTGGGGTGAGAAAATCTGCAGGAGGACACCAGTGGAATCTGGGAACCCTGCACGTGGGCAACGGTAACCAATTTCTCGTGGGCCACACATAGAACCCCAATGGGCCGCATGTGAGCTGCAGGTTGCCCACCGCTGGTGTATACTGATGATGCCTCATGGAAATAAGAATATTTTGAAATATAGTTATGTATGTCTGTTAAATTGTTTTAATAGACCTTTTCAGGAGTACAGGGCCTCTGTATCCTTTGTCAATCCGTTGAAATCATTATTCTCTGTTTTAGATAACATATTTGTATCCGCAGCAACTAATTGTGCTGTTGCTTACAGATATGTGACTTGCATTTCTGTCAGTGGAAGTCAGCTAAGGAAAAGAGTCACTATTTTTGTGCAAATGTGTCTAATAAAAAATTTTGGGAAAGAAAAACATGCAAAAAGCGAGCCACTTTTTTGAAAGAAAGCACTCATGTAGTCTGGATGCTCTTTTGAAAAAGCCCTGTTTGCATTCAAGAATGCCTTTTTTCTAAAGAGAACTTTTGGAAAAAAAGGCATTCTTCCTTGTAAAATGAGTTTTACCGCGGTCAAAAAACCCACTGGGTTCTTTCGATTTAATTTTGAAAGAATGTGGCGGCACTCTATTTTGAAAAAGCCCTGTTTGCATTCAAGAATGCCTTTTTTCTAAAGAGAACTTTTGGAAAAAAAGGCATTCTTCCTTGTAAAATGAGTTTTACCGCGGTCAAAAAACCCACTGGGTTCTTTCGATTTAATTTTGAAAGAATGTGGCGGCACTCTAAACGCAGGGGAAGTTTTTTAAAAAAAACCCTGTAGTCTAGACACACCCTATTTTCAGAAATGAATGGTGCAGCTGTAGTGACTAGGGATGTAAAATCCTGGTTAAACATTAGGACCTGCAGACAAAGGCTGCTCCAGATGCCAGTTGCGAGACAACCAGTTGAATTACAGTTAACAAAACACATAAAATTTAAATATTGACTTCCCTTTGTCATTTAATTGGTACATTGACCTATTTGTACCTGAAGGTCTATCAATCTGAAAATGGCAGAGTCCTGTTTAATTTTAACTTGTATTTAAAGTTTACACTTTTAGTGATTAATTCTTCACTGTAATGTCATAAGTATATTTTATACTATGTTGCAGTTTTCCTCTAATGCTGGCTAGCTTTAGAAAGGTGTTCTGCTCTTTTTCACATTTACTGCCAGCTAAGAAAACATTGTTAGTTTCATGGTGCATTTTAATGTCTTCTGCTGATTAGAATGTGGGTAGTGGCTAATCAAGCTTGTCTAGGATAAGCCAATAGAATATATATACTTAAACAGATGTTCGGTCAAGCTTTATCCTGAGCCTGATTGCTGAATTGTAGGTTAATCACTACTTGAGTGTGTACTTCATCTTGTCAACTGAGGGGGGAAAACAACTGTTAGCAAAAGTAAAAACTGTTGGAGATTGTGGTTCATGTGGTGGTCTTTCAACAATGAATGATATACTTAGAGCAGTAACACAGGTGATAGTTAAAGTTGTATAAGTGTTCTCATGGTAATATCAGATTTACAGTTGTTTAGGACTCTCCAGAACTAGTTTCTATGAATGAGATTTTTCCAGGTCTTATTTCTGCCTGAAGGCATCATTATTTTTTAAAGTGTGGAAGAAACTGTTCTGCTGTTTTGAAAACATATATAAAAACCCCAAACCTTTTCCTATAAATTTAGGAAACCTTTCTGAATAGCTTTTTTTCTGCAACAACTTTTGAAATAAAATTAACCTTTGTCAAGGAAATAAATCATTAAGAATAATTGAATATTCCTGTGAAAATTGTTTTTGTTTTTTTAACTGAGTTATGAACAGTTGATTTTACCACTTTTCACATAGGGGTATTTAATAGAGTTCTAAGCAATAGAAAAAATTATCACTGCTTATCTTTTATACAAACTATTTCAGTTAATGATTTCGGGCATACATAGTAAGTAGTGCCCATTATTAAAAATTGCTCACACTTGTGTGTATATGTACTGTAGAAAAAAATAATTTAATGTATTTTAGATTTCAGCAATAAGCCATTCAGAAAGAGGTAGGCTCCCAATAATTTAAAAAAAAAATAGTGACCACCTAATAACATTTTAATACTTTAACTTAGCCAGCAAATCAAATCAACAGAATTTTGTGCTTTACATGATCTCCTTTCTTCTAGTGTCCCCTGAAACTCACTCAAATAATATTGTACTATTTAAGAAAAACAGTATAATATTCCATAGGACAGTATAATTGGACTGTCCTAGAATACATATACGGGATAGAGTTAAGGTTGCACATAGCAGCTGCGTCTAGACTGGCATGATTTTGCGGAAATACTTTTAATGGAAACGTTTTTCCGTTAAAAGTATTTCTGCAAAAGAGCATCTATATTGGCAAGTGCCTTTGCACAAAAGATTTGCTTTTGCGCAAAAGCATCTGTTCCTAGTATACACGAGGTTTTGCGCAAGAAAGCTCCGGCAGCCATTTTCGCCGTTGGGGCTTTCTTACGCAAAAAATTCCTGTCCCTGTCTACACTGGCCCTCTTGCGCAAAAACACTTGTGCAAGAGGGCTTTTTCCCAAGCGGGAGCATCAGAGTTCTTGCGCAAGAACACTGACAACCTTACATTAGATAGTCAGTGTTCTTGTGCAAATTCTCGCAGCTAGTTTAGACAGCTGGCAAGATTTTGTGCAAAAGCAAGTGCTTTTGCGCAAAATCTTGCCAGTCTTGACGCACCCATAAATTTGGGCTTTCTTGATTTGAGTTGTAACTGCAACTATAACAGTTTGAGTTTTTTTCAAAATATAATGCATGTTTATTATAACAATTGCCACATTTGTATTCTCAACACTGATTGTCATTTGAATTTCTTTTGGTTTGTATTTTTGCCATTTTAACAGAATCAAGCTTTAAGTGTTAGAACAAAGGTTGCTTAAAGTTACGTTTGTTAGAAGTACAGTTTATTCATATTATATTAATTTTTGGAAGAAACAAAGTTATTTTACCTTTACAAAAGTGTTCATAACTATATTCGACCTATTCCCCTTTAAAATATCTGTGCTTTTAAAATTCGCTTCACTGAAGCCATGATAGTTTTGATTTGGTAAGCATTCCGAATGAGCTATTGCCTGCCTCATGGCAATCATTTGAGTTTAAATGGAAGTTCTTCAGATGTTCAAAACAAAATTGCAGATTCCCTGTGAAAATTCCCTACTGAATAAAGCAGAATCCTGGGTATAGTTGTAAAAGACCAAATGTGGTAGGGAAGCAGAGCAGTGGAACGCAGCACACCTGATTGCTGCAAATTGACTGTGCTGCCTTACTGGAAAGGAAGATTAGTGTCTGAGAAGTAGAACAGTCTGTCCGACTATGACAGTGATTCTTGAAGGCGGAATTAGAGGGCATAGGTTCAGGAATGGATCACAAATTTGGTGCATTCAAGTTCTGCTTAGCATTAATCCAACTATCTGATGCTTTCTGTGCAAAGTTATTTTTTTCTGCTTTAGTTCTTGATACAATTAATGTTCAAAATATTGATGGAGTGTTTACTTAAGAGAACTGGTGTTCAATTGAAAAAACAAAACATTTTCCACTTTCTCAGCAATCTAGCTGTTTAAAGTTTTGGCTCTTTGAAATAGTCTATCTTAGAAACTATGAAACAAGCATCAAGCTAACTGTTGTCTGTGCAATTGTCTTTGATAATGAATAAAATGTTATCTTCCTTTCTTACTCTGTTTTCAGTTGGTATTGTGGATTCATCACATCCTGTAAACCAGAATGTTCAGTTTACCAAGCCTGGTGTAGAAACATCTGTTTCTTCTGTTGTGACCTCTTCAGTCAGAACACCTGCTGCAGACCATTTAATAGAACCTGCTTCTGTGCCTTCCAGTACACAGCCACCGGAATCGCTGCTTCAAGAAGGTATTAAAAGCAAGAGAAGAATTATCTTAATTACAGAATAGCATCTTAACTTTTACCAGTTGACAAAACATACCCACAGTGAGCTAATTTTTGTTTTGTTTTTTGATTTTAAAAAAGTACACTTTGGAATCTTTTTTTTTAATAGACCTATTTAGAACTTGTCCTACACATGTATTAAGGTTTTTGCTTTCTGTTGAAACTGCTAGGTGGTTGACTAGTACAAAGGCATGTCTTGCTGCGTCCTTTCAAAATACCATGTACCATTATCTTGTGTCTGCATTTATTCTATCTATTCTTCTCTGTTTCTATATTCCTATTGCACCATTTTTAACTCTTTTTTGCTGTTTTAATTTTTTCTTCTCCTCCCTTAGACATTCTCTATTCCAGTTCCTTAATTTACCAAAAGACTATGTGCTGTTGGATGATATGGAGGCAGGCTGTCTGGCCGCACCCTGTGTGATCTGGTCATGTGCTGTTGCAGCTCATCTATGTTTCTAAAGCAAATTCAGGTTGAATCTCTCTAGTCTGGCACACTCTGGACCAGCAACAGCCATGGCCACACGTGATTTCAGTTTGCTGAATGTCCACTTATCATGGGTGTGGCCAAGTTTCCTGCCATGCCATACAGTTTGTTTATAGACACCAGTTCTGGCTCTGTGTTCTGTACTGTTGTTTAGCTCTAATTTACCCCTTAATGTCTTCTATGAGCCCAGTAAGCAGTGGAAGTGTTGGTAGTGCTGCTAGAAAATATTGACTTCCTATGATTTGGCAAATTCTATGGTTAGCACTGATCAGATCCTGAGGGTGCCAGACTAGAGAGGTTCAACCCGAAGTTTAAAAAAAACCACTTTGGGTAAGGGTAGTTCTCTGAGCCTGTAGCCCTGTAAACTGCACCTTTAGCAAGCTGCAGAAATTCTGGTAGGAACAGGGTGGAAAACTATCAAAGAAGCTGCTTGGTGCTTTACTCACGGGAGCACTTTTGTAGTGGGGACTAGAATGAATCTAGGGTCTTGCACCTTTCATCATCACTAATTTTCAGTGGTCTGTTCTGGGTTGCTGTCCAACTTGTAAATCACAACAGTATATATAGATGGAGATTCCAATTTCCATCTTCTGTTAGACAGTTGCAGTTTTTCTCTTGCTTTCTCTTTAGTTACAATAAAATATGTATAGGTTTTAAAAAATTCTCAAACACTTTAAAATCTGAAATACGTGGCTCATGCAGTGTTTCTGTACATAGCTCTCAGAGCCCTTTTGCAATCTGTTATCCTCATATTTATCAATGAGCAAAAAACCTAGGCATTCTGCTCAAGTAATATTTTGTTTTGTCAGTCTGACTTAACCCTCAAACATGCAAACATAAAAATGATTAAATCCTTTAAAATCATTATGTAAAGTGATGTTTGTGGAAATGGATTTGCAGCTTCTGTTTAGTTCTTAGTTTTACAGCCATATTAAGTAGCAGTTTGAAACTTACTGTTGAATAGAATGGAATTGCAGTGTAGACATGCTAAATGAGGTTTGATGCAGCACAGTATTACTTAGTATCAGTGATTATTTGAATGTGGGATCACTTAATATTTTTATTTTCATTTGGGAGGGGATTCTGACCATAAGATGAGTAAAAAATGTCACGTTATTTATGTGTAAGGCTCATGAATGGATGCCCCTAAGTCTTATTTGTGCAAAGCATTTCAGCTTAAGTCCATCCCAGATTCTGCAAAGCACTTATGTGCTTAAATGACTTGAATAGGTTAAAGATAAGTGCTTTGCTCTGTCAGGACTGTGGCTGTGAAAATCTGTTAAAGTAACTGAATTTTACACTGTTGTATATTTGATTTTTTCCTCTTGTATAATGGGTAAAAATAATCTGTGGCCTGCATAAATTATCAAATAACAGAACCTAATGAGTAAATTAATAAAAGTTTAAAAGCAGTTAAACCTAAGAATGTTAAATGACAGGGTCCATTTCCGAACTAATGCAAGATTAACTTAGTACTGTATTTCAAGTCAATACGTAGGTACTCTGGAGGTAGTTGTGTTGGAAATCTGAGGGTAATGAAAGGGAAAGACTTAAGACAATATTTCATAATCTAATTTATTTTCACTTATAATCCTTTTTGTTCTTGACTCTGCTATGATTATGAAATCCTAACCCAGTAATTGCATAATTTACATTTTGAAAGTTTTTCATATTGCGCTAGAAGAGTCTTATATTGGCAACAAAACTGGGTACTTGTTTTGTAAATGAAAAGTTATCAGCCTGCTCAAGTTACGGTACTAATTTATTTGCTACTAGTACACTTAACCATCATTGGCATGGGGCTGGTGGAGGGGGATGTGCAAGAGGGAGGGCAGGACTTGGAGTTTCGG